CTCACCAATCTGACTTCCCATTCCAATGACTTTTCCCTGAAATTTATAACGGGGTACAAAAAAATGAAAATAAAAAAAAAAGGATTTGGACCAAATCTCTTTTTGTTCAATTGAAATGCGGAGGCAGTCTGTAAGAAACAATGTATTCAAAGCATTGAAAAGTTGCGTGTGTTTTAAAGAAGAATACAATGAAATATATTGTAATAGATTTCCTACAAGTTAGATAATGCAAAGCTGTATGAGTTTTCTAGCTAAAAATAAAAGAACAATTATTGTAAGTGGACACAAATATATATTGTAATAACTTGAGTGAGGCAACTCAACGAGACATAGACGTTTATTTACACGACATCACAGGTACACAAACAACATCTATCTTAGGGACAATCTCTCCATATTGGCTCTTTACTTGTGCGGAAATCGTTCTCTTTCTAATATTGACATCCTTTTAGGTCTAGTCTATCACACTGCGCACCCTCTAGCACTAGTCTGGATGGCGGTGCGCATTGCAGAGTTATAATATTGCCCCCTTCTTATTTTCGTCCCGAAAAGAAACAGTGCAGTGTAAGTTTGACAGTTGAGGTGGAGGTCGATCGGTGGGAGCCACAGACGGTAGGGTGCCTGTTGCCCACGAAGACTTCTGCACAGTTTTCTGTGGTCGTCACTTTCTCTTCTTCCAGTTGGCCAGTCTATGCTTGAGACGATATCGTGGTCGCTGTTTCGACCTCATGAAGATAGTCGCTGATGCCAGCCAGCTGACAAAGGGGAAGTAAGTAGAGATCAGGGTTGCCAGCCACTTAACACAAATGGAGGTTGTGGCGATCACTGTAGATTCCAGGGTTGTTGTTCTAAGACGCTGAGTCAGTGGACCTTTTCGATGGACGTCTCGTGACACAGTTGTAGACCCACTGGTAGCCATGGTTTCAAGCACATAGGCTTTCTCAGCCTCATCTGTAAGGTATGCCTATGAAGCATCCTTGTAATGTTCATCCACCACTACATCAGGCTTCGCTGGAAATAATTCACAACCGTTCAAGTCACTCTCACTGATGTGGTCAGAAGTACTAATTTCTGTTAAGTTCAGATCTTGTAGCTGGGTTTCTTGGCATGGGCACTGTCCCCGTAATACGCCGCATATACAGTTCAAGTCAATCGCCTGAATGCAGTTGCCAAGCATCGAGTTCTCTCTTATGCCGCTGCCAAAGTCAAATTCGTTGTTTCTGTCTCGGCCATTGTTGGGGCCCGTATTCGCAATTTCACCCGACGACATCCAAGGCAAGGAATCAGAAACCGTCTTAAGGCTTTCAAGGTTCGAGTTCCCGTCAAAGGTACTGACAGATAAACAGACGTCTTTAAGGTCCACGGCAGCAAGCTTGGACGCAGACCCAACGTTGTCTTGATTTGTCCGGCTCGTTGCAGGTATACCAGGAACAAAAGTTTCAGGCACATAACAGACTTCTCTAGTTTCTTCATTTGTTTCTTTTCTTCCAAATCTGTATATCCCATTGAGACCGTCGCAGCAATCGTTGTCCCGTTTCTCGCCATGAAAGTCATCCCCGCCAGACTTGACCACAACACAGTCACAGACAGCATTCCAATCTCCAGCGCCTCCATCACCACTGTTTGTGCAGCCACAGTCCTGACCAGGCAACTGCCCTTTCACTAACGAGTTTATTTCTTCTTTCGCTTGCGACACAATTTTATCACTTTGGTCTATTTGGCCTTCAACTTGCAATACACTTTCATCTACTTTGCTCAACATTATGTTCGTACACATGTTCCCCATCATGATCCTAATCGTGTTCATTTGTTTCTTAAATGCATCCCCACAGTCCTGAATCTTAATAATAATAATAATAATAATCATCTTTATTTTCCGTATGGAAATTTGTCTTACAATTTGTGCATTACACCAAACAAAAAACATTATAACTATAAGAAACCAAAGTGTACATTCACACCAGACTCACTCATAATTTACATGTGACAAAGTTTATACCAGATTGTTTTTATTTAATGATTTGATTGCCAAGGGAACAAGAGGGTGTTTGTGTCTGTTGGTCTTTGCTATCTGTGTCTTGTATCTTTTTTGTGATGGTAAAATCACAAAATCCTGACACAAAGGGTGATGCTTTATTTCGAGGATCTTGTTAGCTTTTTTTTATAGATGTTTGTCTCAAACAACTGCCCAAATGGGGTTTGTTTTTTGCCAATGATTTTACCAGCAGCATTTAGGATTCTATAAAGTTTATTCTTATTTTTAATGCTCAGATTGCCCTACCAGGCACTGATATTGAAACTTAAAATATTGCGTTATAAAACATAGCCAAGGCCTTTTCACTAACATTAATCAAGGACAGTTTTCTTAGTAATCGTAATCTTTGCTGCCCTTTTTAGCTGATATATCAGTATTTGCAGTAAAATTTAGTTTATTGTCTAGGATAGTACGAAGGTATTTAAAGGTTTGCACAATTTCAATAGTCTCTCCAGCTACAGAAACAATATCATGTTCCTTCTTTTCCCTACGAAAATCGATTATCATTTCTTTTTTTTTTTTTTTTAAATTCAATAATAAAAAATATCTTTACAGTATTTTTCAATGTGTTCTATTTCTTTGAAATACTCTGAGCTCTCTGAGAGCAGGGCAAGAACAATCTTACATAAGTGTTCGGTAAGTCCAGATGTTTGTAGACACAATTTAAAATATTTAGGATGGCATCGTCTACAACTTTACCCTTTTGGTAAGCAAATTGTAAAGGGTCTAACTTATTACAAAGATCATTCAGAAGAAACATTTTAACCAATTTTTCTAAACATTTAGACACAATGGAAGTAAGTGAAACAGGTCTATAGTCATTCATCTCCTTCGGTTTGGAAACCTTTGGCACAGGTACAATTATAGATGACTACCACACAGGTAGTCTCATGGTTTAGTAATGAAGTAGAAAAAATCTCTTGGAAAGGTTCAGCTAGTTGTTCAGCACATTCTTTTAAGATTCGCCCTTTTATTCCATCAGGCCCACCAGCTTTCATTGGGTTGACGTTTTTGAAAATGTTACAAACTTGCTCTTTAGTAATCGCTAATTCTAAACAATTGTTAACATTGACATCCTCAAGGGCTTTGAGTCTTAGATAATTAAAATCTTTCGTGTCGAAGCGACAATAGAAATCATTTAACTCGTTGGCTAATGTTTTTTCGTCTCTTGTAGCAAGATTATTTTTAATTTTGGCTTGTGATCCTGCCATTTTGTTCATGATGCCCCACGCCTATCTCATGTCACTTGTCTTAATTGAGTCTTCCAGCTTGGTGCTATAGTTTCTCCTCCCTTCCTCAAGAACGACGTTGAGATTTCGTTGAGCTATTTTCCTTGTCTGTCCATCGCCACTCATATATGCTCTTTTCTTTTTGATTATTTCCCGTTTTATTTTTGCAGTGACCCATGGTTTATTGTTGGGGTATATCTTGATGTTCTTAGTACTGATACACATGTTTTGGCAGAATTTGATGTAATTTGTCACTGCGTCGATCCATTCTTCCAGATTTGAAGTGGTCTCTTTAAACAAATTCCAGCCAGTGCAGTCTAGACATCCCTGTAGTTTGAGAATAGTGTCTTGAGTCCATTTTTGTACGTTTTTTTTTTTCCTTCTTTAAGTTTCGTGCGGTAAGTAGAGGCAGCAGTTGTATTGTTTTGTGGGCCGATGATCCAAGTGGTGGCTTTTCACGAGATGTGAATGCTCCTTTGATGTTACAGTAACATAAGTCCAGAGTTCTGTTCTCTCTTGTCGGACATGAGATGTGTTGACAGAAGGTGGGTAGGTTAACCTTCAAGGTGCTTTTATTAAAATCACCCAGTATAACTACTGGTGCGTCCGGTGACCTTGTCTGAAACTCATGCACTACGTCAGCGATGATTGCAGCTGCAACTTCCGTCTTGGCTGTAGGCGGAACATAAACCAGGACTATGTAAATAACACCAAAGTCTCGTGGCAAATAAAAAGGTCTCAATGAGAGCGCCAGTAGTTCTAGATCCGGAAAGCACATTCTCTTTTTAACTGTGTAGTTGGTACAGTATTTGAGGTTGATGTACACATGCCTTTCTTCTTCTTAGACCCAGTCGTTCTGTCAGATCTCACGCAAGAGAAACCATCGATAGCAATCAGGTTGTCGTTGTCATCCTCCTCTAACCATGTCTCAGTAAAAGCCAATAGACAACTTTCCATAAAAACGTGCTCGTAGCGTACATGGGCACATATCTCATCCACTTTGTTTCTAATTGATCTTGCCAACGACATCAACAATCCCAGGTTCAATTTCAAATTGATAGGTCTCCGGATCTTCTTCTTCATCTATCAGAGCTTGCCGCAGACGAGTCGTGAGCGTTTCCCTGCTACCGACGGGTTTTAAACCTCGGTCCCGAAGCTCTTTAATTAAGAGCTGATGTAATAGCGTCAACGATGCCATGGAGATTGAATCCTACCTCCTCTCGTTGAGTTGCCTATAATCCCACTTCTTACACCAATTGTAATAACTTAAGTGAGGCAACTCAACGACATAGACGTTTATTTACACGACATCACAGGTACACAAACAACATCTATCTTAGGCACAATCTCTCCATATTGGCTCTTTACTTGTGCGGAAATCGTTCTCTTTCTAATATTGACATCCTTTTAGGTCTAGTCTATCACACTGCGCACCCTCTAGCACTAGTCTGGATGGCGGTGCGCATTGCAGAGTTATAACAATATGTACAAATTCGACACAACCTTAGCAGAATAAAGTGATCATTGGACAAAACATTTCATATGCAGGGGAAAGGTTAGTTCTTACTGGTTACAATTCAATAACAATTGAATTTGAATCCTTTACCAAAAGGAAAGGCAATGAAGCCAACTCTCTACATCTAAAGATAAAATTTGTTACTGTTAACTGAAAAAAAAAAACAGAAAAAAAACAAAACGTTGCACACCTTCTGTTTAAAACAAAAGAAGAGACCAAATATTTTTCCCAAACATTTTTTGGGGGTATTTTATTAAAACTCCATTATTCTTCAAAGTCATTCATTGTATCAACACATGGCAGTAGGCTAAAAATTTGTGTGACATAGTTACAAAATGCAGTCAAATATATTTTGTCCAAACAATAATTGCAGAATAAATTGATGTAAAATCTTCAACTATTATTGACTCCTATCAGTTTTAGTACTGTAATATACTAGACATAGCAACTCACCATAGGAGTCGGGTTTCATCACATTATAACAGAGATTTTAGATAGCATAGTTACAGAGTAGGACCTTCACTGAGTAAACATATTATTTAGGGACAGAGACTAGACTGTTCCTGTTTTGCAGTAAAAGTTAAGGTCTTCATCTTTAGATGACTTTTACTTCATTTACGTCATTTTACTTTAAATCTTGCAAATCTATAGATGACTTTTGTCATTTTACTTTAAATCTTGCAAATCTATAGATGACTTTGTCATTTTACTTTAAATCTTGCAAATCTATGGATGACTTTGTTATTTTACTTTAAATCTTGTGTGTGTATTTAGTGGACTTAAGTCATTTTACTTTAAATCTTGTGTGTCTTTAGTGGACTTTGTCATTTTACTTTAAATCTTGCAAATCTATAGATGACTTTGTCATTTTACTTTAAATCTTGTGTATGTATTTAGTGGACTTGGTCATTTTACTTTTAAAAGAACAGAGACTAGAGTTTTTTCATTTTGTATTAAAAGTTAAGGTCTTCATCTTTGGAGGACTTAGTTTTCTTATTTTAAATCCTAAATCTTGTGTGTGTCTTCATTGCAGTTGAGTTAGTGAGTTATAATGGACTTCAACCTCTTGCACCTAAATACATCCCTACATGTACATATAAGCATCTACTGATAATTCATGAATCACAATATACTCTACAATAACAAGAAGATAGTATTACAGTAAAACATTCATATTTTTAGATTTAACTAAAATATAACAATCTTGGTCTTACATCAAACAATGTACATTATATTAAAAAGTCTGCATAAAAACTTATTAGCAGCTTTCTGAAACAATTAACATTTTATTTCAGGCTCTGACATATGAAGGGATTTTGTGACATACACTAGACTTGACATTTCAAAGTTAAAACCAAATGCTGTATGGCTTGTGAGCTATTTGCTGACATTCTACAAGTTGAAGTCAGAGATTCTCATCTTATTAAAAGAAAAATCCCATAAATATAAAAAAGTCAATGCATATTAAAACCTATTAAGATGATTTATTTTTTTTTACACATTTTAAAAGGTCAAAAGACAATAACGAACTTTGTACCTGCATTTGTCCACCACTGCCCATGGAATCATTATAAGTATACAGCTTTCTAAATTAGAATACAGGATGTAAAAAGTAAGAGACGTCATCATCCCTATTTAAGGGACTAAGCTCTTGATAACAACTAGAAATCTTCAGTTAAAATTTTAATTTGGTACCATATAAATGAGCAGCCTGGGACTCTTTCAAATATGAAGAAAATCTTTCTCATCTCCAGAATATCCCAATTCAGGACATTATACCAAAAAATAATCTACAAAATTTCATATTTTAACTATAATGTGTCCTGAAATCCATTCCACTATGGCACACAATTCAAATAGCAATACATAATTATATCTAGCATTTGAAGGTAAAAAAAAAAACAAGTTAATGTAAACAAGTATAAAACTCATACAAATTTAATTCACCTATCTTTCACACCATGGTCTCTACATCAAAGCAATCATTAATACTAATAAAACATTCAAATATATTCCGTAAGTCTCTGCAAGGACTTAATAACAACAAGACTGTGTTGAATAAAATCCGCAGATAAACTCATATATCTATATACAATGCTGGCAAGTGTCATGATAAACAAAATGCACTATTGGTTTCAAGATTTAGACAACAAAAAATGAGTGGGCACATTTCACTCTGCACAGACCCAATCTTGTTGGTTTCAAAAGACATGAGGATCATTATTTTTCAATAGAAACTTTTATTGCTGCAAATATTACACAATGAATAATGAAAATAAAAAAGTTTTTATTTTAATTTTATTTGTTCAAATTTACAGATAAAAAAGGAAAATACTATTGTTTGTAATGAACCAAATCTAGAATTTAGAACAAGCTAATGATCTTTAAAATTGTAAATTAAGAAAAGAGCAGCAAAATTTTTCCCTTTTTTTTTTTTTTTTCAAAATAAAAGTAGTGCAGTGCAGATTTTTACAAAGATATAAAAGAAAACCAAATGGAAATTTCCTTTTAGAAAAAAATATATGAATAATCTCTATGCAATTTGACATATTAAAGAACTGCGAGTTTGACTTGCTCCTTTCAAGAATTTATAGATTGATAGAATGTGGTGGGAGCTCCCATTGGTAACATTATATAAAATAAAAATCTTCCTGTCAGAGTCAAATAAAGACAAGATACTTTTCAAACCTTTTAGTTTTACTCAATGAAAATACATTCTTATAGCTCTTTGACATTTCTTTACTCTTTAAACAAGAATGAAAAGATTTTATAACTCAGTGTAAATGTCATTAAGTGTTTAGGGTCTCATAGATTAAAACAAGGGCAAAATAATCTAAGGGATTTTTAGAAAGAGTTCTCTCCCTTCATTCAGGAGCTTAAAGGTAAAATTGAAACTTTAGGTTTAATAGAAAAATTAATTGGCTCTGTTAAAAATAATGAAATATGGCCATACACATTTAATGAGTCATGATAAAACAAACAAGTTAAAATAAAATGTGTTATTATTTACAGCTCTATTTACAAAGATCAGTAAAAATAATTTATTGATTATTGATAGTGGCATTCACTTGGCGAAGTATTCCTAAAACAAGTTCTCTCAGTGTCTGAAATAAAAATTTTAAAAAATTAAACAAAATAAAACAAATCAACAAACATGATTTGATGTACACATCTGTTATTGACTGTGTGTCTATGAGTTTCTGTAACCATGAGTAAAGGTGGATTTGGTTGTGTAGGCTGAAAAGATTCTGATGAAATCACGAGATGGTCTGTCAAGTTAATAAATAATGTTGTCAAAGTCAAAGATGGAAGAATAAGAGACGTTTGACAAGAAGACATAGGTGTGACAAAAAGATATAAGTGACAAGAAGACATAGGTAGTGAGACGTTTGACAAGAAGACATAGATGTGACAAGACGTACATGTGACAATGAGACATACTGTATATTGTTAGTGAGTGATATTTAAAAAAATTAAAAAGATTATTTTTAATCTGTGTTTCTACAGTGAAATTGGCAGCTGTATATGCTTGCAAAAAAAAAAAAAAAGTTCAATTCAGTTTAGTTTAAAAAGAAATTGTCACAGTCTATTTAAAGTTTTACATTACGCATAGAATACCCTGATATCAGTTGCTGAACTAGCTGTTGGGAGCTACAACCCAATGACCAAGTTTCAACAATGTCATTCTGTGATGTTAGATTTAAATGGAGCCAACACAAGACACAAAGTTCAATAACCATTTAAACATTTGATATGCTATAAATAACATCTTGAGTTATGTTCCTTTAACATAGCAAGTAATATTCAAATCACTAAGTACCTGAGGTTTGCAATACTCTTCCAGCCAACTAAAAACACAAGCAGAGAGTTCAGCAAAGTTGGCTACAGATATTGATGCATTGAAAGACTGAAATAAGGAATCCATCATGTTGCGGAACTGAAACCATATACAAGAAAAAAAAAGATGAAATATTAAAAGAAACAATATTTCTGATGAATATGTATGTTTGCATCACACTTAGTCAAAAACATTTTTAAGAACCACCCAAGATTGATCAAAAGTTCAGTATTATGCAGGTAGCAAGTTCGTAAATTAAAAATTCTATTAATCAACATATTTTCCATACAAATTAGCTGCTATAAAGTTTAACATTCTTGTATTGATCAGCAATACTCACCACTTGAAACTTGATTTCATCAGAGACCTGGTTCTGTCCAAGAGAAGGAGAACTCTGATGTGTTTTCACAATGTGTTCATAATTCCTGCATAAAAAAAAATAAAAACTCTCACATTGAACATGGGTATACAATGTTTTAATGAATAGAACTTGAATGAAATAAATATTAGTGTTAATGTAATGGCTATCGTACCAGTACTAATTCAAACATCTCAGGTTCATATCTTGATGGAGATTATAAACATTAGATTCAGGATTGAACTGAAACTAAGTGAGAATGGAAACCTCTCAGAGAAATGTCTATAAATGCAATGTGAACCCAAGCACCCATATTTAGAATTGTGTCAACCATTTAGAACCTAAATACAATTATTTCCACAGCACAAAATACCCAACCACTTAAACCCAATAAAACTAACTCACATCAAACTAGCTAGTGAGAAAGACCTAAGGACATAGCTAACATTCAATTGAGTCAATAAAGTAATATAAAAATGTGTATGTACTGGAAAGTACTTACGCTTTCATGATTTTCAGGGCCATAACTTCCTTTCTCAATGACTCAAGTTCCTCTTCCTGTTTCTTCTTCTGACTGCTTAGAAACTGCATGTAGTCAATGGCTGGAAGGAGAGAACAGAAATGTGAACAACTTGTAAATTCCAATTATGTACAATATATTTACTGGCAATGTGAAGCAATTGGTTGTCAAATGGTAAAACAAACAGTATCCAAGACGACGTTATGAAGTGTATGTATGTTTCCATTAGCTGAACAGATTCTGATGTAACCATGAGTAATCCTATTACATTTGATGTTATAAAGAGGTGTGAGACACAAAATATAATAGGTGCAATCGCTTAAGGTGGTAGAAGAAATGGCACAGGAATACATGATGCCACCATTTGGAAGCACATGCCAAGCATATGGGCAAAACACTGGGATAGTTGGAGAGACGCACTCAGAATGAGGCGCCTAGAGAAAGCTAGTTGGTGGCCTATGCCCAAGATGGGACCAAAGGCAGAGATGAGATGAGAAGGTGTTATTGGGTTAAGACTTGGCATACATTAGCAGTTAGGTTCAGGATGCAAATCTCAGAAAGCATTGAGACTTTAAAAAATCTTCTCCATTTCTAACAGGTACAAGCATGGAGAATTGAAAGTGGTTGGTCAGTGTGTGGACTGCACTGAACACACATATAATAATGCACACAAAATGGTGACATCTATGTGAAAAAATTATCAGAATTCCAAATTTTATTCACTAAAATTCTGACAAAGAACTACCGAGTGACTCACATCTTTGTAACACTGTGGCTTTGCTGATTTTCTGTGAGCCCAGAGTATCTTGCTGCTGACATGTAGGGACAATGCACTGAAGTTCATCATAACCTTTCTGTCAAAATGGAAGCACATGATGTTATATACAATAATCCAAGGAAACATTTAGACTTTCTAATAACTAGATCA